GTAGTCCCTTTTGACTGGACCTCGGGAGGGGATATTGAGGCTTATTTGGAATGTGATAGGTATTTTTTAAGTGAACCTCAACTGGGGGACATTTAGCCAGGGATGGAGTCCAATGGGTTTACTTGGTCTTGTGGAAGCGGAAGGGGATGATCTGGTGTAGCCTGTAGGGCAGCCATGGCTATAACTGAGGGAGGGAGGATGGTGGAAACAGCAGAAAGGAAATCATGGCCTTAAATTTAGATAGAACATCCCTGCCTAAAAGGGGAATGGGGCATTGGGGCATCACCAGGAAGGAGTGTGAGAATGAGTGGCCTGAAAATAAACAGGGTAGGGGTGGGGTGGTTTGGGGATATATTGCTTGTCCACCTATCCCAACAATAGGGGACTGAGAGGGAAGTAAGGATCCCCAAAACTCCTGTAAGACCGAGAATGTTGCTCCAGTGTCTATTAAAAAGAGAATTTTGTGACCATCAACCGTCACTTGGACCCTGGGTTCTTGCATGGTGATTGGACTTGTTGGGACAGGAGTCTTGAGGCCCCATCAATCGTCAGTGGCTAGTCCCATGAGATTATGGGGGCAGCTAGGGCCTGACCGTGCACCCCTTCAGGTACGAGGACAGTCCTTCGAAGCCCAGTGGCCTATCATGGAACATTTTGGGCAGGGTCTGGTAGGCGACCTTGGATTAGGGCAGGCTCTGCTCCAATGTCCTTCTGGTCCACACTTAAAGCAAGCCCCAGGGGGTTCTGGTTTTAGGGGATGGTCTTGCCACATGGGAGATGAGTTTTGAGAGGGCCCACGGAAGGCCTGAGCCAGCATTTGGCACTTTAGGCGTTTAGCCCTTCTCATCTCGACTGTGATAGACCTTAAAAGCAGTAGCAAGAATCTCTGTCAGGGGAGTGAGGGACCTCGTTCTAATTTTTTTAAGTTTGATCCGAATATCAGGAAAACTTTGGGCAAAGAAATAAGTCATTAGTAACTGTCGGCCATCAGGGGTTTCTGGGTCCAAATTAGTGTATTGCAGGAGGCAGTCTAGAAAGGCTGATGGGTTCTCATGTTTATCTTGGATGATTTCCTGAAGTTTTTCAAAATTAACTGCTTTTTGGGCTTCCCTTGTTAGGCCTGCCAGAATACAAGTGGTGAAATGATCTCTGTTTGTGATGCCGTTATTGGTGTTGTAATCCCAGAGGGGTCTTGGTCTGGGACGGCTTGGGGCCCAATGGGATGTGCCGGGTTGGTCTGATGGATCTCCTCTGCATGAGTGCGAGCCTGTTCCCAAGCCCATCTTCTCTCCTCAGGAAGTAAAGTATGGAGAGGATCATATAGACATCATGGAAGGTGAGGCTATAGGCCTGTGTTAAATATTGGAATTCTTTGGTATATACAACTGGGTTGGTAGTATATGAGCCTGGTCGTTTTTCAATTTGGGAGAGGTCAGCCATAGAAAAGGGGACATGTATTTGGATAATGCCTTCAGCACCTGCTACCTTACGCAAGGGGGCAATTATTTGAGGAAGGGCATTGGTTTGGGTTTTTGATCTAGTGAGTGGAGGGGAGAAGTCAGGTTGCTGAGGTGAGGGTGACGGCGGAGAGTCTGGGGCAGAAGGTTGAGGGTGAGAATCTATTGGAGCTGGGCAATAGGGTGGAGGTTTATCAGCAGGGTCAAAAGTAGTGGATGAGTCTGGAGAAGGAGAAAGTTGGGGATCGGTGGTAGGGAGGGTTGGCTTGTAGGCTAGAAGAATTTGTAGAGGTTTGCAAGAGATGCAGAGAGCGGGATTGGAACGGAGCAAGAAGAAAGCCTGGACATAAGCGATCTCTACCCATTTTTTCGAATGCTCACAGTAATTGTAGAGATCCCTTAGAATGGAGGGATCTAGGGACCCAAAAGGGGGCCATCTGCTTTGGTTGTCTAAGGGATAAGTGGGCCAGGCTTGGGTGCTATATTTGATCAATTTTTTGGGTTTGATGTCTGGTGTCAAGGAGAGGGTTTTGAGGTTATCCAAGAGGCATTGTAGGGGAGAGTCGACCGGCAGAGAGGACACATTACCCATGTCGCAAACGTAGTATAAGGAGGAGGGAAGAGGACGCAAACGTAGTATAAGGGAGAGGGAAGGAGACGCAAAGATAGTATAAGAGAGAAGGAGGAAACTGATTTATTGGCAAAAGGGGCGTACCTGCTAGAGCCAAAAATCAGGATTGCCTTAGTGGCAGGTTCGAGCTGCAGAGATTGGTCATCACCGAATCCTGACAGTCGAAGCTCTCGTCCTGGACGGAGCCGGAGCCGTGGGAGACCTTGGCCAAGGCTTTTCGGGACCCCTCCTGGAGAGGCCGGATACTCCCAGGGCCGGAAAGAGGGGAAAGAGAGAGACAGGGGAAGAGAGAGGAAGGGGAGGGTAAGGTTCTCTCTGGCGGCGGAGTCTTGAAGTTGAGGACTAGGACTTTAGGAAAGCCACTGAGACCATGAAGGTCTGGGTGGGATGTGATGTTCAGTTCTCTGTTATGTGTCCCTGGAGGTTACACAGTCCTTTGAGGGAGACCTACAAAGCCTTTGCTGGTAAAGTACCAGCTGGGAAGGGGAAGGGGAATAATTTTGAACCCAGGAGTCTAATCTGCCCTAGGAAGGAGTCCCTGAGGGCCACCGTAGCCTTGAAGGCTATGGTGGGGTGTTTTCCTCCCCACCGGTGGGCAAAGAGGTTTGCCAGACAATCAACGGTCAAATCCTCCTGACACCATCATAGGGTTTAGGACTCCAGGAAGGGGAAACTCACCAATCGAAGGCCGGTGGTGGATGGAGTTCTGGCGATCGAGAAAATGGGTTCAGGTTGTCCGGTGAGTGGCACTTCCGAAGGAAGAGGGACCCAAAAGTGGGTTTTAACCCTCTCCCGGGTTTTCGGCACCAATGAAAGGAAAGTGACCACAACACTCGGAGAAACCAAGAGATCTTTATTGCAGCAGTGCAACAAAGAGAAAAGAAAGAAGGAAAGAAGTGGGAGGGGGCAGCTGGGGAAGGCTTTTATAGCCCTTCTGCTGTGCTGCCTAAATCTAACAAGGTCTCTGGGTTTGCAAGCTGCCTTGTTGGCACACAAGGGGGTTAAGTGCTTGGCCTTGAGCGGCAGGCTACGTGTTCAGCCTTGAGCAGGAGGGCGAAGCGCTCAGCCTTGAGCGGGGGCTTGGGCGTTTGGGCTTGAAGCAAACAGGTGATAAAGAATCAGACAGAGGGTTTGAGCGGCCAGGTCACCCTGCAGCTAACTTTGTTTGGCATGCCCTGCAGACAGCTTACTCAGCCTGTCCTGCACCTAACACATAACAGTAGAATCTACTTTGACATAATTATACAAACATGGAATTTATCTTATGCTAATTAAAATGCAAGGCATTATTATGGTGACTCTTTATGAAATGGAAGTTTCCACTCACAGCACCATTCCCCGGGTCTAGGCATTTGTATCCAACTCCTCACCATAACCTGGGCTTTTGTGTGTAGCCAGTATTTTTTGGTATCCTGTTCTGGATAGAGCTATGTGTTCTTCAACAACCCACTGGAGTCCTGTGTGCACATATTTAGCTTAATGGAGTCCCCCAAGCTCCTGGTCAATCCTGCACTCCAAGTTCCCCACTTGATCACAGGTATCTGAGCAAGGTCAAGCCTGGGCTGCCTTTGTACCTCAGGACAGGGAGGTGTTAGCTTAGGAGACTATTTGTTCAGCTTGATACTGGCTCTTCCTGCAGAGCTCCAGTCCTGCCTCTCCTCTGTGGTCAGGGCTGAGCTCCATATGGGAGCGTGAGCCATCCTCCTTTCTGTTCCCAGCTCACCCTGATGGTGGCGCCTGGGGCGCTCAGGAGCTCCCATCTGTGCAGACCAGCCTAATCCCCTTATGCCTTTCTGCTCCACGTGGCTGCTGCCCACCCCACCCGTAGGACCAGGTCCTCTCAGTTATCCTCAGCCATTCCCTGCTCCTTGCACTGCAGCCCTGCCGCCTTGTGAATCCTGATGCCCTGGAGGGCTCTGCCTGCATCCTGGCTCCTGCTCCTGTGCAGAGATCCTGCTTAAAGCTGGAGTTGGACAACTCTCCTCGAGGAAGTCATGACTCAGGACTGTGCCATGGCCCTGAACATGTATATGCGTGTGTGTGGCCCTGAACATGTATATGTGTTGTGCCTGTATGTGTGTGTACATGCATGTGTTAAAGTGTACTCATATGTGCTTTAGTGCATGTGTGGCAAATGTGTGCATATGGACACATGTGTGTGCATGCATGTGTGAGTGTGGGACAGAGGAACCTGCATGCTGCTGCTTATCTGACTTGACTCCTATTCTCCACCCTTCCTCATCTGCACAACCCAGACCCTTTGCTAGGCTCACATGATTGTGTGCACATTAAAGAGAAACTAAATTCAGCCCCTTGAATTGCACTATCAGCCTGGATGCTTCTTCCCATTATAGCCCACGGGCAGAGGAGAGATAAGTGCTGCTTTGAACATCAGCAGGCTGAAGGGTTGCAGAACAGGGCTTGGAGTGAGATGATCCTGGGTTCAAATCCTAATCTGCTCCTGGTTTCATTTTCTGATCCAGGAAGCAGCTTGGCACCCTGCATCTCTCTCCCTCCTGCATAAGGAGAGTCACAGTAGTCTCCCACAGAAGGAGCAGACCCCGAGAAGGGCTCCTCATATGCGGGGCTGACCATTTATTTACCCATGGAATGGAGCCTGTGGTTTCTGAGTAGCCAGAAGAGTGCCCGGGAGTGCTGGCCCTGAATCCCATACAGGGACCAGGAACTCGGGGCTCATATTTCCCTGGCCACTTCCACGGCCCCCACAGACTGCACTGTTCCACTTCGTCCTGCCAGGCTCCTGGATGACTCTCACATCCTGTGGGGGGCAGGAGGTGCTGGGAGAGTGGGAGATGCTCTGGGTAAATAATGCAGAGCAAGCTGCGCTGATTGGCTTCAGGGAGGCGGACACTTTGTCTACATAAATGGCAATCGCATCCTCTGTGTCTTTTAACTGTCACCAAGGAGAAGGGAGAGAGAGAGCGGACAGAGAGAAGCAACTCCCGGCTGCCTGTGAGTACGATTCTTTGTCCTCATGGCTCAGGGCCAGACCTTAGCGTCCACATCCTGGAAGGCTACAAACCTGGGGGTCAGGGTGGGTGCTTTGCAGTTGGCTCTACCTGTCTGACTCCCTCTCCTTCAGAAGGAAGGCTAAGACTGCCAGAGGAGACAGCTGAACATCTAGTGTGTGCAGGTGGTGGGGGTGCTATGGGAACTTTTTAAGAAATTAGGTACCAACCTAGGTCAGCCTAATTCTTTTGAGTCTTCTCTGAGCAACAAGTACAACAAAGAATCTGGAACTTTGAATGTTATTTTTTAGCACATGTTCTTTGAGCCATGATAGCAGCATAACCAAGTGAGTGGAAATTGATTTCCAGGCTGGTTCCTGTGCACATAGAGCCCTAGAGGCTGTGGAGTGAGGTGGGGAAGGAGGAGGCTGTGGGGCTCAGGGACCGGGTGTGCTCTGCAGGTGAAGGAGAGCTACTAGCATCTTCCCACGGGACTGGAGTAAAATATAAATAAAATAGGAGGTCTGATTTTATAAAGGGTCAGGCACGCAGTAGGTGCTCAATAATTGGGAGCAAGTAAATGACAAGATGCTGCTGAGTGGTCCACTGAAATTCAGCAGGTGACCTGGATTTTCCCCTTAATCATCTTTCTCTCTCAAAGGCTTGCAGGGTTCTGCTCCCTACAGATAATTTCTCATTCACATAAGCAGTGTTACTCCATCTGAAACAGAATCAAAATAAAGGTGTACCTGCTGTGTAACCACTGACCCTCTTTGCAGTTGTCAAGGGTGTCAGAGAGAAACAGACTCTTTTTGTTGAGGGCCACCCCATGCTCCAGCTGGTGGTCTTACGAGCCCTAAGCAAGGACAGCAGACATCCCGGAACAACGATGCAGTAGCATATAGAGGTGTCTGGATGTTTTTTAAGGAGACAAAATCCTGTCTACCTCATCCTCTTTTTCTCTCTCCTGGGCACAGGGTGGGTAAGCTTCTGTGCACAGTCAGTGTGAATAAAATAATTAAAATAAAATTCTCCTTTCAATCCTCCGTGCGTTGGAAGAAATGGCGGGGGATCTGGTGATATTTGTTTTCCCTTCTTGGAAATGTCAATTATTCTGTAGGCTTTACCCTATGCTCTTGGAACCTCAACTTGTGTCTTGTGGGAAGTCTGGGGAAAGGTTCTGGGGAAATTAGAACCCTAAGCAGTTTAGAAGAATGGTCTTGATGTTTTTCTCAGCGCTTATAAACATTTCTGAATGGAGACACTCAGGGACACAAATACACCTTGCCAGGATAGGGAGCATCCATTGGCACATGGGCTTCTAGGAAATATTGAAATCCCACGGCATTCTGAGTGGTGGCTGAGGGACCCTAGGCAAGAGGGAAATGGGCTTGTCTTCCATATGTAAAAAAGCCATATGTAAAAAACCACTCTGGAGCTGCATGGGCTGAGATAAGCATGTGCTTGCCCAAGTTGATTTCCTCTTTTCTAAGGGTGGAGTGGGGGGCGATGTTGCTGCTTTGCAGAGCTGATGTTCAAATAGAGAAAACAGGCAGAGTGCTTGCATGGTGCTCTGTACGGCACCCATTCAACCCACTTTATTTTGGAGAAGATGAGAACAAGCACCTCTTTTGGGCCACAAAGGAGACCAGAGTTTGTTCAGTCTCTGTTTCCACTGAGATCAACCCATGTGAAGAGGCGGATGAGGAGGCTCATACTTCTTACTGGAAGCCACGTTCTCCTATTCTCCTGTGTGGGGTGAATGGGCAGGATCCCTAGAACTGCATTTCAGTTGCAGATACTGCCTTCCCAGCCTGTGTGGAAGGCCCTGTTGGGGTCTGGGATCTATGTGATAGACTCTCAAGCTATCATAACACTGGCTTGTGAGAATATGACACTTTCTTGTGCACTTGATGGCCTAATAGTAATAATAATAATAATAATACTCAGCTTGCTGTTTTGTTGAGTGATAAATGAGAAAATACATACCAAATGTTTTTGGGAGGTTAGGCAAAACTGATTTTTTTTTGACAATAGAAGCTGGCAAGCAAATGTAAATGTGTTCTTGGGATTTGACTTGGAAGAGCCTCAAATCTAGGCTTCTTGGCAACATCGGGTAATAAGCCGGCAACTGTGCAATATAAGGAATAATGAAGGGTCACAGTGAACTGGGAAGTCAATATTTACTACTGATCTGGCTCATGAAAAAGAAATGAGACTCCCCAACGAGAGTGCCAAGGCATACCAAATAGATTCACAATGCCAGGTGTCCAATATTTATAATAGATGATAAACCAATATATGACATGGTCACAGGATGTTATTAATGTTTTGAAAAGAAGCAACTAGCTAGAACATAATTCAAATCATGTCAAGCCTATAAGAAAAGCAGATGGCTATGATCTCTTATAGACTATTAATGTGACTTCAAAAGCGTAAGAGAAAGAGGGAAAGAATTGAGGGGGTGAATAAGGAATAAAACAAACATGTTTAAGAAGGTGGGAGAATGCTTTCTATCTAAGGAAAATCTTTCCTGGCATAACACTGAAATAAAATGGGAACGAGGGAGAAATGTTAAAATTAAAATGACATAGTAGTTCTTATCTAAACTTTTAAAAATAGCAAACATGAATGAAAGTGATAAGATTCAAATGATTTTGAATTTAAATGTTTTACAATTTAAAATTTAAAATTTGAATGGATGAGAAAAACTAACAGAGACTGGCGTTCATGCTTATAATCCCTCCATGGTGGTCTTTCTGTGCTCTTCTGTTTTTTTTCCTGAAAGAAATGTGGCAACTCACAGAAAGAACTGCACAACTCCCTCCTCTTGAGGGCACTGGGAAATTAATATCCTTGAGGGACAGATTGGGTGGGTGTCACCTGCATCATGGTGCTGTAGTGCACGACTCTCTTAATACAAGCAGTGCTGTTCATAAGAGTAAGTGCCTGCAGACACACTGAAGGGGGCAGACGGGATCCTGGTGACACTGAGAAATCCCTGCCCAGCAGTTGTAAGCAGGGCAAATTGGCATACTATGTCCATGTAATTATGTATATTGTAATCAGGCACACAGGGACAATGTCAATTGCAAGAAGGCTCCCCAACCCCACAAATATTCTCACTGCAACTATTTGAATTGTCTTTGGTCAGGACTCAATTGAAATAATATCAATATCCCAGACATTCTTTGTTTTGCTTAAGTTATGGATTTTTTCAGCCGTCTCTTCAATGCAGGCTACCGCATGTTTCCAGAGATGTGATTAGAAATAGTGGCATTTTCCCACAAGAGTGAATGTGAAAATCATCACTTTCTGTGTGGTTCTATGCCATAGTGAATTGTCAACCAAGAAAATACCCAAATGGGGCATTATTGGTTAAACGGGGAATGAATGAGGAATCGTGGTCAAATCCCCAGAAGAGAAAGTCATTCCCATGGATTTTGATCTTAGTGGTGATTTTCTCCCTTTGGTCTCCTGTTTCCATGGCTGTTCCTATCACAGTGAAATCATCTGACCAGCTCAGGGGTACAGGCTCCCACCTTGCTTTCATAACATCAACAATAACACACACTAGACACGTATTTGAAATCCAAATTGCTTTCTGCCTACATCATTTCTCTGTCCTGTTTTGCTTTACAAATGAGGTAACTAACTGAGACTCAGAGAGGGCAAGGCATTGGCCAACAGCAGCACAGACTCCTACACCAGAGCTGGACTCAATGAGGGTTTCCTCTTAACGCAAATCTACTGCTCTTTCTATTCCCTGTGGCCGTGGAGAGAAAGAATGCTGTCATAGAGAACTGTGATATTGAAAAGTACAATATTGTAAAGTGCAGGTCCCCCTGTAGAGGAGACACTAAAGTGAGTCCTTATCCCTCATTTCATATGAAGGCATGGGGAGAAGTCAGCAGTTCACCGTCTAGGAGGAGACTTCACAAGAACCTGTTCATGATCTTAGACCCCAATGCCCCCCCACCCCCGGGACTTTGCAAAATGAATATTTGTGGTTTATAAGCCACCCGGTCTGTGGTACTTTGTATAGCAGCCTGAATGGACTAAAAGAGGAGACCAGAGAGCTCAATGGGCTTAGCTATGGTCACACCTCCAGCAAAGAGCTGTCCAAACCCACCCCTTTATGCTTTGCTTTTCCATTGGCAATGAACATGATCCCTTAGCCAATCCCTTAGCCATAGAGCCCCCCTGCTGTGTCCTCTAGGAACTCATTAGCAATTAGGCTCTGGGAGAAGCTGGGTTTTTAAACCTCTCATCCTGAAGTTGCCTTTCTGCAGGGTTCATCAACACACAGGCATTTGCCAAATCTGTTAGGCATGCTCTCTGAGTTTGAGTCCAGAGCCTTCACTTGAGCAAGTGCCTACAGAAACTGCCCCAGTTCAGCTGTGACCTGACCATGCCAGCTGTGGAGTCTTGGTCTAGTTGCTTAGCCATTCTGTGCCTCAAACTTACCATCTGTTAAAGAGGATAAGAATCTGGAAGAATCTTTTATTTGTGAAGATTATAAGCAAAGACCTTAACATAGTGGTTGCCCACACCCTCCGGTGTGTCTGCAGGCACTTACTGTGATGAACAGCACCGCCTGTGTTAAGAGGGTCTTGCACCACAGCACTGTGATGCAGGTGACACCCACTGAATCTGTCCCTCAAGGACGTTAATTTCCCAGTCCCCTCAAGAGGAGTTCCAGTTCACACAGGAGCTGGAGCTGGACAATTAGAAAGTGGCTCCTGTGGCTTATTTAAGGGGGTCCATCAAAGGCCGGGGTAAGGTTTCAAGTGTGGAGTCTTGCTTTGGGACATCCTGCAATTAGTGGTTGGCACTTAAAGAGAGGGCTTACTTAAAGAACTCTGTGATTTATATAAAAGCAATTGTATGAGTACAAGAAAGTGATAAGTGTGCGTGAGTGCATGTGTGGTATTTGGTATGATGTTCACTGGCTTAATTTTTTGAATTCTAATAGAGGAAATTCGGCATAAAGGACAAAGGAAA